TATTCTGTAATCCTCTTGCCTAATCCTTATTCCTTTCAAAGTATTAGAGTCCCGTATTGTATTTAACAAGACTTCTAGTGTTAGAATAAATAAAAGTGGGGACAACGGACATCCCTGTCTTGTTCCTTTTTCAATTTTAAACTCTGTTGTCAAACTTCCATTAATGATGATCTGTGCCTTTTGCTCTTGGTAAATTGCTGAAATCGCTTGTATAAATTGATCCCCAAAATCCATCTTTTTTAAAGTCTTTAGTAGAAAATTCCAATCAACTCTGTCAAAGGCCTTCTCTGCGTCCAAAAAGACCAGCATTGCAGGAATCTGTTTATTCTTGTCAAGATATTCCTTTACACATTTTTCAAAGATATTCCAATAAATCTATTACTTGCCTTACATTGTCCTTCATGTGTCTGCCCTCGATAAATCCCGCTTGGTCCTCATGAATCACCTTTTGGATTACTGGCATCAACCTGTTGGCTAATACTTTTGCATAGATTTTATAATCTGTATTCAAAAGAGATATTGGTCTATAATTCTCTGGTTTTTTAGGACCGACTTGTTCTTTTGGTATCAAAGATATGTAAGCTGTTGTCCATGATGGGGGTATTTTACCCCCTTGTTGAATATTGCAAAATAAGTCTCTAAGTTGTTCCACCATTTCGGCTTGCAAGGTTTTATAATACACTGCAGTCAAACCATCCGTACCAGGAGCTTTGGCTGTTTTTAACTGTTTAATTGCTACTCTTATCTCCTCCTCTGTTATAGGATAATTCATCCTTTCCTTTTGTTGATCAGTAATTTTTGTAACTCTTTTATCGTTTAAATATTTTTCTATAAGTCCATTCTGCACCTCCTCCTTGGCATATAATTTGGTATAATAGTCCACAAAAGCTTCTTTAATTAATTTTTGTTGAAAAATTTCTTTCCCTCCAATATCAATACTATCTATAGTCCGTATACTTTGTTTTTTCCTCAATGTGTAAGCCAACCATCTGCCCGGTTTATTAGCGTTGCAAAATGTGTTATGCTTCGCATATTGTAAGTTTGTTGCAACTTGTTCCGCCATAAGCATTTGAAATTGGTCTTTCAAAAGTTTTATAGCACTGCTTATTCTTTCATCTGTTGGATTTTTAATAAGTAACTGTTCTTTATTCTTTATTTCTATATCCAATTCAGATCTTTTCTTTTGTCGAAACAGTCTATGTTTAGAGTTCATGTAGATAAGTACCCCTCTCATATAAGCTTTGCTTGCGTCCCAGACAATTTCAATTGGGGTACCTTTATTCAGATTTATTTCAAAAAATTCTTTCAGATGCTTTTTAAGTTCTGTTGTATTTTTTTCATATCTAAACAAGTTCTCATTTAATCTCCAGGAACGTCTCTCAACCTTATCCATCTCAATTTCTATCCATACTGGGCTGTGGTCAGTCAAAGTTCTTGGAAAAATCTTTGTTCTTTTTGTCTTGACAAGTAAATCATCTGACAACAAGATAAAGTCAATCCTAGAGAAGGATCTGTGTCTATCAGAAAAGAAAGTGTAGTCCAGTTCTTTTGGATTATGTATTCTCCAAACATCTTTTAGTTCCATATCTTCTTTCATGTCAAAAAAGGTCTGTGGTAGTCTGATTCTAGACTTTGCCAAACTCTTTTTATCTAATTTAGAATCAATTACTCCATTCCAGTCTCCCATAATTAAAATAGATCTGTAATCCCATTGCAGTATTTTGGTATGTAGCATCTTGTAGAAATAGTCCTGTTGTTGATTGGGAGCATAAATTCCAATCAAAAGAATTTGGCCCTTTGCCGTAAGCAATTCAATTGCTACAAACCTACCATCTTCATCTGTTTCTATAACTTTAGCTGTTAATTTTTTATTTACATAGATAACCACACCATTCTTTTTTTGCGAAGTTGAAGATATAAAATGTATTCCTAGTTTGGAGTTTATCAGATATTTTTGATCTTGAGTTGTGATATGCGTTTCTTGTAAACAAATTATATCATTATTAAAGCTGGCCCAATCTTTCTTAATGGGCACCAAATATCTGCTGAGGGAAGGGAGCTGAAGTTCTGAGTTTCTGTCTCCCTTAAGATTTCTATTTCTCTTTTAAGGGAATTATAACATTCTGCCTTTTTAATATTTCCTAAAATATTTCATTCTTCTAGGAGGGGTGACTGATAACTTTCTACACTGGTTAGTGAGACACATGCTGAGCAGAGGTGGTATTCAGCAGGTTCTGACCAGTTCTGGAGAACCGGTAGTGGAAATTTTGAGTAGTTTGGAGAACTGGTAAATACCACCTCTGACTGGCCCTGTCCCCATCTATTCTCTGCCTCCTGAATCCCAGCTGATCGGGAGGAATTGGGGATTTTGCAGTAACCTTACCCTGGAGTGGAGAGGGAATGAAGATTTTACAGTATCCTTCCCCTGCCACGCCCACCAAGCCAAGCCCACAGAACGGGTAGCAAATTTTTTTTAATTCCACCACTGATGCTGAGCTATCGTGCCCCCTTCCTTGGTGGTACAACACTGGTAACTTAAAGAAAAACAAAATCATTTTAAACAATAACAAAGTTCTTGTTAGACTAGAACAACAAAAGACCAGTTGTAAAGAATTTCGAACAGGTTTAAATTATTACAGATTGTAAGATTGTAAATAAAAGTAATATTCTCATGTCCAGTATAAAAAATGTGTAAAGGCTGAAATTATATAATTCACTAGCTTGCACAGGAAGTAAAGAAAATTCAGACTTTGACATTTGACTTAAACCTATGCAGAAATTAAATTAAATCTGGTGCAGCAGCATCCTGACTAGAATATATTTACCTATACCTAACTAAAATAAAAAGTCATGAAAGAAATATCTCCATGATTCAATTACCCAGACTGTCCCTGCTTTTTGGAAATACCCACACTTTAATCAGAGATTATGGAAAATGATAGTAGAACCCAGTTCCCCCCGCCCCCCATCTGGGTTAACAAATTGGCATCCAGTCCTGCTTTTAGTTTTTAAAGAATTTTAAAAATTACAGTAAAGAAAGGGACTAGGATACCTGATTCTCTGTATATGTAGAAAAGAGCAATTCTGTCTTCCCAAACTTGGGGAAAATGAGTGAAGTTAGGAAATGTGTCTCTTTGTTGTTTAAAGAAAAATATACATTAAAATTGATAAAAGTCTAGACAGGTATGTCATGACATTATTGGGCTTAATATGATTACTGTATTTAAAAAATATACTTCAAAGCTGGAATGATTCTGGTGATGCAGGTAAATGGACACCCCATGCTTTGTAGGGGACATTGTAGCAGAAAGGCAGCTGGATGCAATCCGGACTGCAAATAATTCTCTCTGGATTAAAGAAAGATCTTGAGATCACCCTCCTATATTCCAGAGAGGGCTTTTTTATTTTTATTTTTTTATTCAACAGCATAAACAAATGTTTTTGCAGCCACTTGCAATTACTCAGGAAGCATGGATTTCATCCTGATTTCTTCTGAGAGTTAATATAGCCTCTTTTAAAGACTCAAAATTAAATCAAGCTTCATCTTTTAATCACCTTGGAGGGTTTTTTTTCTTTCTTATTACCATTTTAAGATTGAAAAACAGCAATGTATATGGGATGTGGTGGCTCAGTGGCTAAGACGCTGAGCTTGTCAATCGAAAGTTCAGCAGCTCAGCGGTTTGAATCCCTAGTACCACATAATGGGATGAGCTCCTGTTACTTGTCTCAGCTTCTGCCAACCTAGCAGTTTGAAAGCATATAAAAAATGCAAGTAGAAAAATAGGGACCACTTTTGGTGGAAAGGTAACAGCATTCCGTGCGCCTTTGGCATTTAGTCATGCCGGCCACATGACCATGGCAACGTCTTCGGATAGCGTTGGCTCTTCGACTTTGAAACGGAGTTGAGCACTGCCCCCTAGAGTCGGGAACAACTAGCACATATGTGCGAAGGGAACCTTTACCTTTAATGTATACAGCTATACATTATACTTCAATCTTGGCTGAGTTAATTTTGCAGTGTTAGTTAGGAATGCCATGGACAAATGAAATTCAAAGAAAAAAACCTATTACAATTAAAAAAATTATTTAAACAGCTGCATTGTTATTAATTATGGGTAGCTGATAGTGGAACCATGCTAATTTTCAGACAATTAAGTAGAATAATGACATAATTGTTTTCTCTCTCATTTCTGTGGTGAGAGAGCAAAAGCATGCTAAGCAGGTAGGGTTTTGTTCTTGAGTAGAAATAAGTAAAAATAAGACTCAATTCTCAAATTTCTGATTTAGTAATTCTCTGATCATGGTCAGTAGAAGATTCACCATTCCATTTTATGGAGTGTGATTTAATAAGTACAATCACTGTTTTATTTAGATGTAGAACAATCTCCTCTCTATACAACTAAACCTAATGTTTCCTCCATAGACACTTTCATTTTATACCCTCTTCCCAGTGAAAAATTCTAAAATGAAATTCAAAATGTAGGATTCTACTAACATTGTTGGCTGAATCTCAAGTATGTGCATACATGACATTTTAACTTCTAAAATATTTATTTACTGTCAGACACCACAAAAAAAAAAAAAAATCACAGCATTAAGGAATTTTATATATGGCATGCCAGAAGAATAAATGCACTATTTAAGCAACTTGCTGAGGCTTGATTACTGTTTCTGTTGAACAGCTTTAATTGAATCATGAAATGACTGAAAACCTTTCATGAATGACTAAATACACTCTCTTGCTGTTTATTCACAAGAATGCAGCTATTTTTAACACCTTTATATATATTTATTCATGCTGGGCAATCTTATTTTACTGCAAGAAAAGAAAAATCACTACCTTTTCCTTTCAGACACACTAATGAGTTAAGGATGTATATTGGTTAATAAAAATGTTTTGATGCTAAGGCATATCAATACAGCATTCCAAAGCCCATTTTGAATATGAATTTTAGGATGCATTTTTTTAAAAATCCTCAAATTTGCATAGTTACCTAGGCAACCTTGATTTTTTTTCCCCAACTGGAAAAAAAGAACACTTAAAAGTATAGGAATCCAGCATCTTATTTCAATTTCTTGGACAGCTAGTCTCTTGAAGTATCTTCAAGAACTTTCAGTGTTGTAACCCTTAGCTTCCAAAAGACAGACCTTTTATGACGTTTCTGTTAAAAGGAGGGTAAGAAAAGAAAGGAGATAACATTCTGATTTTTTATATATATGGCTATAAATCTGATGAATTTAGTTATTAAGTCCTGAAAAAAACCATGACTGCTACTATTAATCATAGTATCAATCATTAATTCATGTCTATCTAATACAAGAACACACACTCACATACAGGCATACAATTTTGAGTATATAGAGAGAATTTTCTTTCCAATATGTGTATTTAACAAATATCATCTGTTTTGAGTTCAAGAAACATGGCTTACCGAGAGACACAGAGAGAGACAGAGACAGAGAGACAGACAGAGAGACAGAGACAGAGAGAGACACAGAGAGAGAGAGAGAGAAAGAGAGAGAGAAAGAGAGACAGACAGAGAGAGACAGAGAGAGACCCAAAGAGAAAGAGAGAGACAGAGACAGACAGAGAGACAGAGAGACAGAGACAGAGACACACAGAGAGAATACTGTATGGAGAGCTTTTCTCAATATATGTGTCTTACAAATAAAATACAAATACCATCAAGATAAGAACAGAATAAATAATAGGTAACAAGGTGCCATATAGGAAATGTATGCAAGAATTCTGGGATGTAAGAGAGAAGGTAAAGGTCTCCACATTTATATAGCTAAACTGTGGGAGATCTCCTATACTGTGCCAATTTTTTTTCCCCCAAACCCACCTTTTCTTCTCCTTCAGTTGATTGGAACAGAAAGAGCTTTATAATTTTCTTTGGAAGCAAAGGGCACTTTGATTACCTTTTTCTAGATAGGGATGGAATTTATTAGGTAGATGGCTATGGACTCCTTGCAAATTCCTTACTTTCTCTCAAGAGCTGCATTCTCCTGGCTCCCTGGGATTCAGTTAAATTACAAGGGAAGGAATAAGTGATCTCTTCCAAATCTCAGTAAATTATCCCCAAACCAGCAGCATAATAATGCTATTTGCATTTAAGACTTACAACTTCAGCAGCATTAGCACCTGATATACATGTGTGAGGAAAGAGTGCATGTGTATACACACACACATCCATTTGCTTGTAAAAATAGGAGAAATCTACCTATCTTCTGATAATCAGGCATGCAGTTGCAAGATGTTGTCACTTCTGTTTACACAGAAACCACAGAGTTAGAGTCATCATAATTTCATTAGCTACTCCCAGATTCCATACCTTCTCTATATCCTGCCATCAAATCTAAGCCAATAACAACAAGGATATGACCAGTATTTTCTGCTGTATTGTTTAAACTGGGTTGAAAAAATAACTACCTAATATCAAACCACAAGGTTAAAACAATACTGCTCAAAATGGCTATAAGGCTTTTTTTTTCCTTTTTCAAGATCAAAACACAAAGAACACTTCAAACTGAAAACATATCGTGCTCAAAATCTTTTGCACCTCCCTATTTGGTGGCAAAGCCTAACAATGTTTTTCTTTTGTTTTAAGTGTATCTTGACACTATTTAAATTTCAAAACTTTTTTTTATCATTTGGGATACAGGTACATTAATACTTCCCCACTACCTTGGGAAGACATGATCTCTAAAGTCATCTAATGAACATATTGATTCTGTGCTCCTTATGGATTTTTTTTTCCAGTCACCATTTGTATCAAAAAAAAAAAAGCCAAGGAGGTGATGGTGATGGTGGCTCACACATAACCAATATGTCACAGAGGACAAGTAGGATTTTATTTCCTATCATTCTGTTGGGACTTAAGCAAAGCCAGCAGAATACAGTAGCTAACTCTTCCCCATCCTCTTGTTTTTCTTATCAGTCTCCTTGTTGTTGTCCTTAACACTTCTGTTGTAAAGTTCCAGGGTCTGCTTGTTTTTTCACTGCACTCTTGTAGGTCACCCAGCAAAGCTATCCATGTGTGATGCGACAAGGGGTTTATCACAAAGGCAGCCACTGATTTGGAATGAAAGACAGCAGCTGGACCAAGGTCACCTAGTTGTTTTCTATACCTAAGGGAAGACTTCAAACATGAGCTTTCCCACCCCATATCAGCACCCTAACCACAACATCACAGCAGTTTTCCTGATATGTAAGCTCATTAGTTTACAGTATAGTCTATGGTAACAGAAAATCTAGGCATTCTTATGATGCATAATGGGGTGAGCTCCTGTTTTCTGTCTCACCTCCTGTCCACCTAGCAGTTCAAAAACATATAAATACAAGTAGATAAATAGGTACTACTTCGATGGGAAGGTAACAGTGTTTCATGCACCTCAACATATAATCATGCTGGCCACATGACCATGGAAATGTCTTTGGAGAACATTGGCTCCCTTGGCTGAAAAATCGAGATGACCACTGTCCTCTAGAGTCAGACACGAATGGATAGGGAGAGCCTTTATACAGTATAATAATGTAGATTATTTCTAATGTATGTTGCTCAGATTTATTTTTGTGTGTGGTCACAGGCCTTCTTCTGTGATTGTTTTTTATATGTAAGTGAGCCATCAAAAAATCCCAATCTTACATTTATAACAAGTGATGATATTCAAATGCAAGTTTGCCTGGCATTTATTTTCACTGGTGGGGAAAAAAAAAAAAACTAAGTAGAGTTTCATATGCAGAAAGTGTTTCTTCAGAAGCAAGCATTAATATTCACCACAAAATTCCCAAGGTGTTTCAAACTGCTCTTAGAGTTGGAATTTAACACAAAGTCAAATTTTCAAGGCAGAAAACCCAGCATTCACTATTTTACGCATGACTTTCTGAAGCAAATATTAAAATTGCACTTCTTCAAGCTGTTAAATTTTTTGGGCTTCATGAAACAGGAAATGAAATCATGGTGCCAAATACAGTCCACTTTAACTAAGTCTATACATTATAAAACATTAATAAAACCCACCTTTCAGAATCTTGAAAGATAAGATCAGTTAAAATGCAATAAGAAGAATATGAATCTGGTCATGCTATCCAATGGAGGCAAAATACAACACAAACCTCACAGGCAGTTAAAGAACTGTTCAACCCAAGAAAGCTGAACTAAAGCAAACACTTTTCTTTTCTGAATTATTAAACATTTTTTTTCTTTTCAGATGCCAATCACAGTGGAATCAGTGGAGCTTAAATTGGTTGCAATCAAGTTGCCTCATTGAATCAATTCAGTGGAGTAACCTAAGCTTCACTAACAATTCTTGGACTGTTGTGTCTGTTATAAAACAAAACTTAAGTTTTTATTTCAATTTCAAGTTATTAGAGGAAACATTATCTCTTTCAAGGAAAGCTAAATTGTATATTTGAAAAAAAATGCCTGAACTGCTTAAACTTTAAAATTTGATACACAGAGGAGGAAAGAATGAGGATTAAGATCAGTGATGGGTTGCTACTGGTCCGCCCCGGGTCGGGCAAACCGGTAACAGCAGCAGGAGGCTCCGCCCACCCACCCAGACACTTCTGCGCATGTGCAGAATCTTTGCCCGCAAGTGCGCACACACCCATGAGTGAACCAGTAGCGATGGGTTTTGAAACCCGCCCCTGACTAAGATGCACACTTTATGATATCCTTGGATGAATGTATTGGGCAGTTTTCTGCACAGAAGTGGGCAACCAGGCAGGCTGGGACAATGATGGTGTCCTCTGTAATGTTTGATCTCTCTCTGACCTTTGCGTCATCCTCATAGTTGGTAATCCTATTTTCTAACATTGTTTATACATATCGAATAACTCAAGGCCCAGAACAGGGTCTTGTTATGCCATTTGATATACAGTCATTGAGTATGATTATTTAACTAGCTCTGGGAGCATTAATGGTATTATAGTCTATCTTACATTTAGAAATGAAAGTGAATATAAGTGTCCCAGGATAATATTGCAGGATCCAATCTGGGTCAGTCATCAAGACCAGAGGTTTAGTCTTCCGAGTTTTCAGACTCATGCTGGAGCCCATCTTCAGGGAACTTCTCTCTAGCAAATTGTATGCTTTGGACTATTCGGTGTATGATATATGGTGCCTCGTTGTGTTCAGCTTTTTAGTTGTTGACGGGGGTGTTGATTGCTGGCTATTAAATTGTTGGCTATTGTTTCCTTGTGCTGCCAAGCCTTCACCTCCAAAGTACTTGATAAGCTGGTGGTAAATCAGCATTCCTGTTGACTGACAAGGGACCCATTTCTCAGGCTTCAATCACTTCCCTATCTGTTTTTGTCCCTGCTTTTGTACTACTAATTTTAGTAGCTGCAAAATTGAATGTATGTCCTTTTTTATTGAAATGTGAGGCTACCATTGAGTGTTTGGGTCTCCTCGTCTGACTGCTAGCTTGGTTTCTTGTAGCCTGGTGGTTACCTTCCTCCTCATCTGTCTTACATAGTCACGAGGGCAATCCCTGCAGGGGATCTGGTAGATTACATTGGAAGTATCTCTCACCTCCAAGCAATCTTTACAATGCATAATTTGTCCTCATATGGTAGCCTCTCAGGTGGTATGAATGCCCATTTGCAGAACTCAGAAGCTGAATTCTACTGCTTCCAAAATGTTTTTGATGTATGACAGAGGTTGCCATGGAGTTGGTCTTGTACCTTGTTTCTTCCTTTCTCTCCCCACAGTGTTGCACAGACATCTTGTAACAAATACTTATGGGTAGCCATTCTTCCTGAATTGTTTGCGGATAGTGTGTGAGTGTGTGTGTGTGTGTGTGTGTGTGTGTCTCTCTCTCTCTCTGTGTGTGTGTGTGTGTGTGTGTAAACAATTACATGAACAATTCAGGCAGAATGGGTACCCACTACTATAAAGCCACACACAACCAGGCATACATAAATACCACACAGAGATAGCCCCAAGCACACAATCTGCTAGAGAGAAGTTCCCTGAGGATGGGCTCCAAAAAAAGTATGAAAACTTGGAAGACTAAACCTCCACCAATTGACCCAGATTGGATCCTACCCTACATTTCCCCATCTTCTTTTCTAGGATCTCTTATACTGGATTCATTTAAGCTACTCAGCTCATTCTACTAAAAAGACAATCATCTTTTCTCTTTCCAGTTTTTTGGCCCTGAATTTGTCCACCATGATTTCTCAAAAATCACAGAATAGGGCTTCAAGATGGTACATACAAGTTCCTTTAAGACTCTTAATGTAATTAATTTTGTCCTAGAGATTTAAACTCATCCATAGTAGCCAGGTGCTGTATATCATTTTCCTTACTTCTGGGTAGCCAATCCGTCATTGCGTCAATTGTTCATTTTAAGTCCATTTGAACAAGTCCAAGTTTCCATTTGGTGAAAAGGCTAAGGTAAAATAGGAAATGGAAATCCCTTTTGTTTGTTACTTGTTCCTACCCTCCTATTAACACCAAGCCCTATTCGTTTCTTTATCTTTATTTTTCAACCAGCAAAGTGTCTCTTCCCTGTCCTTATTGTTTCTTTTAGGTTTTCCTGCAAACTAAATTATTTTTCTATTTTAGTCTTTCTGCTGTTATTTTTTTCAGATGTATTTATTGGTATGCCTCCTTAGAGATAATGTCCATCTCCCAGTCTTTATATGTGCTTTTTTTTTACCCTTAATTCATTTAAAAATTGATACACATTTATTATTTCTTCCATTATTTTCGTATGAAAATAGTATGTGATTGCTCTTTCACTACCTTACATGTAAGGTTTCTAATCCTCTTACTATCCCTCTGAGTATAAGATCAATTTTTGTCAACGGAGGCCCAGCCACTATACTTTTATAACCTTGTAGATGTTGGCTGTCCTAAAATCTACTATGTACATTTTTTATTATGTTTGCAATTCTCTTTCTATAACATCCTGAATTTCAAGAAGTTTCTTGGCCAGGCTGGGTAATATTTTGTTCTTTTATGTTAACTCAGGTAGTAGAATTTTGTCTAGGCCTTTTAATTTCTTATCCAGGTCTAGTATTGAATGGTTAACCCTAGAGCAAGAGTTTCAGATTCCCATTCACTTATGTGGTTCATAGCATATTTTTGATTAAAGCTAACAACAGCTGGGCTTTGAAAGTCTGGAGAATTACTAGATGACTGACTAGAGATAGCAAAATTCTTACCATGATCAACTCATTTTGTAGTCCAGATGTGGCAGCCCTACTGTTAAAAGCAGCTACCAATCTTCTTCTAGCCTAATTTACAATATTATT